CGACTGACGACGGGGTTAGGGACCGGGTCGCGAGTCGAAAATAATACCGTACATAGAAAATCTAAAACGGGTGTCAATTCTTCTTCTCGGCACCACGAGAACTCTCACTCTTACGCTTGCCAGCCATTTTAAAGGGAATTACAAACAAAAATTTTGTCGGTACACAGTGCAATCACTCACGTCAGGACTCGAAAATAGGTAATTTGACAAAATTTTGGTACGACCGAGGCGGTCGTACGTCGAGTAGGTCGTAAGTCGAGGAGTAGCTGTATTTAACTAGTGATAACAGAAAAAGTTATTTCTTTAATGTTTTGTTTTTGTGTTTTAATGTTTTGTCTGTGAGTCGGTTCTCGTCTTCAACGTTTAGGTCACGAAGGAGGCTTAAATATATCTAGAAAAAAAGTTTAAGCTCCTGCGTAAATATCACAATAGATTTGCACTGTCCTCTGTTTGGTCACAGCAGATTATGTGAAATTCGAGCGAGAGAGATTTAAATAATAAATCCCGCAAAATTGTGCGTTTCTCCCGGAAGCACGAAAAGAATCCGTCAATAACGTCGCAGTTTCGTTCTACGTCGGTCACGTCCACGAAATGTAGACGCTATTGGACTGTACGAAACCGGGTATGCCGATTAAATTTTTGCTCGTCCATCGCAAGAAGTTAGGTAGTTTAGATTAGATTAGGCTAGGTAGGGTTTTCAATGTTTTTTTTTAACCCTTCATGTTGAAAGTAACTTTTTTTGGAAGATTCATTGTTTTTGTTAGTGTAAGGAAATTAAGATCATATAAATTTATTAGAAAAAATCCAAATAAATACTGGTAAAATTATCGTTTTGGCCGTGCATCTATTTTCCAAAAGTCATAATCGTTCAAAATATCCATAAAAACCGTCGGAAAAAGATAATTTCAACTTTACGTAACCTATTTGAGTAATCGGTTTCTCCATGTGGTGTTAAACTATTGAGTAATGTTTATTTTTAATACAAAGTTGTTATTTGACCCGGATTCTGGGCCAAATGACCGTCGGCTATTTGACCGGGACCTGCGGGGATCGTGTGGGATTGTAGTCGGGATGGTTGGGGGCATTAAACAAGTCATTCCAATATGGTATTATTTAATTGTATAATTTCTGTTGACAAAAGGATTTAGTTTTATTTTAGATCTCTGTCAAATAACCGGCGGTTATTGTGCCGAGTACTGGTCAAATAATCCCTGCCTATAATATAATAGTTTTACAGTGTTGTGTATTATATAGGTATCTGTTACATTTCCACGAAGCTTTAAGGACCAACAACACATCTCGGTACGACAAGTGGAGACTCGTCCGGTCTCGCACACGACGCCGTTAACGGCAAACGGAGAAACGCCGCCGCCGACCCGCGGGAGGTAAGACCGACGTCGTCACTTCGCGTCGTGTCGTCGGGCGTACGAGCCGAGCGTATTAGAGGACTTGTATTTAAGTGCACTTGTACAGTAATCCTATAAAAGTGGACATTTATGTAAATGTTTGTGTCTAAAGTCACTTCCCATTGGCGTCGGTGGTACGGGACCTCTCAAAATTGTGGCCCAGATTCACGTTTTTCATCCCAAACCAAATTTTGAATGTGTGTTTATTTCGTTATTCTTTAAAGTACAGTGCAGTATATTAATAACTTTTAGCTTCGTTTTCAAAACATAATGTCATTGTTTATTAATTATGATTCTTTACAAATGCTGTACTACTTTTTGTGCCTGTATGTTTCAATTCAGTTAATGAAACTTTTATTTGCATAGTTTTGAAGAAGACTACAGTACTTAGTACATAGTTTAAATGTTTGCATATCAACAGTGCAGTACTTTATCTCAAGTAATATTTTCAGGTACTTTCTCCATCACTGCCAAAAGTGGACCTGATGTGAACTAGAATGAAGTTGGCTGGACCTGCAGTGAAGTGGACCTGAAGCTAACTGGACCTCAAGTAGTCTGTGGTATTGTATTTAATATTGTTGTGGTACTTTGAATGTTAGGAAAGTTGTACAGGCATTCCCCAGTTTGTAAGAGTACTGTGTCTTATAAAAACCTATGGTAAATCGAATCAATATTCCTATAGACTCACATTATAAAAGCCAAGAGACTTTTCTTCAATGAAAAAAGTTTCCCCCCAATTATGTAGTCTCCAAAACGTATCGATAGATTTTCTTGCGGTAAAATTTGAAACGCTGGGTGAAAGACTTTGATGTGATCTCCAGTGCATCAGCATAAATTGGTACAGGTACATCCGGTCACTATATGAGCAACAGCCATAGACGGCGGGTAGCGAGAGAGGGAGTCATCCTCGCGTGACATACAACCGTACAGTATATGCTTTACTATAACAAGAAATCCATTAAGCTATATTAATGTATGTATCGTGCTGGGTAGAAGCAAGGCATAAGTAAAGAAGCCCCTGACTGAGGATTACAATAACATGGAAATATACTTTAAATGGAAGAGTTTCGGATCACAACCGAGACGGACCTCGAGGCGAACATTTCACCGTGTCGTAGTGACGGTTTCATTCGTACCGAGCTGCAGAATATAGTCGTCGACGACACGTATGATTTATGAGAGGTGACCAAGGAAATAGTAGTTGATATTAGAGTGAACAGTTACAGCAATATACAGTATATTGGTCTAATTGGGATCTGCCAAATATTATTGATTCGTAAATAGTGTCGGTTTAACGTCACAATAAGAATTTAAATCGGCGCGTCGCCGGTCTTTTCGTGGCGGCTGATCCATCGCGATACCGCGGGTTCGCTCGCCCCGTTGCGTCTTTCCGATAATTCCTCGGTTCGTTTGACGTAAGATCCCATTAATGACCGGCACGGCGTCGGCGTCCATTTACGACACGCAATCTCAATTCACTTGACGTGCGATCGGAAGCCTCGGAGGATTCGCATCTCTCAAAAACATACGTATACTCATTCGTGCTCAGAGGTGTAGACGTAGAGTTAGCAACAGTTCTGAAACGGGTCGTGTAACATTGGTCGAATAGCCTCGAAGCACGTCGACCCCGTGGCTAAAGATATTATTTTGGGGTGACCGTACTCGTCGATTATAAGCCAATACCGTATAGGAGCTCTTCGACCGACAGACGAGTCGAGCTCCCGAGGCTCGTTCGCGAGTCCGACTTAACTCTTGTAGATAATGATATACAGTAGAGCTATACCGTATATACCCAGCACATTACGGTACAGTCGGTCCCCGACTTACGACGGGGTCAGGGACCGGCGACCGGGTCGCAAGTCGAAAATTGGAAAATAATACTGTACATAGATGGGCGTCTCATTTTCTTCTCGGCACCACGAAACTCTCAATCTTACGCTTGCCGGCCATTTTAAAGGGAATTACAAATGAAAATGTTGTCGGTACACAGCGCAATCACTAATGTCTGCATTCAAAAATACATAATTTGACAACATTAAGACCAATCCCCACATGTGAAGGGACCCATACAAATTGAACATTATGGCCATTTTTCCGTATTGTATTTACTAATTTTCTACATGAACCAATAATGTGTCCAAAGACTGGACTCCCACTGTTCAAAGAATCCAAAGCTGCCCTACTATCAACAACAAAATATGCATCTTTATACCTCTTTACAACATTTTCCAATCCTACTAACATTGCATATAACTCAGCTTGTGTTGATGAAATAAAACTTCGCAACCAAAGTCCAATTTTGATGTCATCATTTCCTTGTTCTGTGTGCTGTCTTATAAGGATCCCGCACCCTGCCCTGCCACTTGACATAACTGAACCGTCACAAAAAACATGCAATGTGTTTATTTTAGGCAAATTACTAATCTTATTCCCATATAAAGCCCTTATAACTGTCCTGGTTCATGTAATGATTTCTTCATTGTGAGAGGCACTATGTCTAACTCTACTTCTCGTTCTTCCCAGGGTGGATTCTTACAACTCTTCTGAACAGCTGTACACCAGTCTGCCAGATTACATTTTTTAATAATATTTATTAATCCATTCATGTATCCTCTCTTGCCTTGCCTGCAGAAGGTCCTTTTATCTTTTAAACCATCATTTATATCTTGTACAAATTTACCCCCACTGTTCCCTCTCATTAATCGAACTGCTGCAACTGTATTAATTTCATTGACCCTCTGTGAAATGCTCTGTAACCCTAGTTCCATTTTCATTATCTCAATCATTGCATTCTTTTGACACCCTAAAATTATTCTCATTGCTTCATTTTGCATGATCTCAAGCTTCCGTAGCCTTCCTTCACCAGTACAAGAGAGGACAGGTGCTGCATAGTCTATAAGTGATCTGATGGTAGAAATACACATCATTCTCAGTATGGGTACCCCAGCACCTTTACCACAACATGCTAGAGCCTTCAAGGGCTGTAATCTTGCTCTACATTGAGTGAGGACATGATATATTTCTGCCTCTTTACTTTCACTAGTAAAGCCAATATACATTCCTCAATATTTATACTTTGACACTTTCTCAACAATTTTTCCATTTAGAAAAACGGATTCAGTTCCTCTTCCTTTACATTCACACTTGGTTTTTTCTTCATTCATAACTAAGCCCATCTTTTGAGAAAGAACACTAAAATCATTTAATGCAATCTGCAAATTTTTTACAGAGTTTCCTTGAAATAAGATGTCATCTGCATAAATGATGGTTACAACTCCTTTGGGATATTTGTGTGAGGCTATCTTGTTCATTAACACATTAAATAACATTGGACTCAATACTCCCCCTTGGGGAGTGCCTAGTTCAAGTGCTCTTTCCTCAGACAAACATCCCTGATACCATACACAGATTCTCCTTCCATGCAAGTAGTCACCTATCCAGTGTAACAACTTTCCTGATACCCCTAGAGCAGCCAGTTCACTCATAACTACTTCACTGTGAGCTTTATCAAATGCTCCTTGTAAATCCACAAAAACTCTACATCTGTCTGCATCATTTGATAAACATTTATAACACAGTCTGAAGTACATTTCCCTTCCAAAAAACCAAATAAATTACAAGATAGATTTTCCCCCACAATATATACAAGCCTATTTAATAATACTCTCTCCATCATCTTGGAAAAACAAGATGTTAAAGACACTGGCCTGTATCCACCAGTTGCCTTAGGGAAAGGAATAACTATCGCTTTCTTCCATTCTGTTGGTAATCTACCCTCTGCATAGCTCATGTTGAATAAATCTAATAATGGACTATTTTCCATACCAACTAAGCAGTTCAAAATTTCATATGTCACACCATCTTCGCCTGGTGCTGTAGATTTTCCTTTTTTAACAGCATCTTGAGTAATATCTACACATGTTACATCACAAATATTTAGAGCTGATGAAATAAATCTTTTTCTTTCATTTTGCCACTCATCTAATGCTTCTATTGTCCTGTTAGGCAGGGAGGCAACACTAGCAGCTTTAGCCCATTTGTCAACCAGTTTATTAGCTTCTTCCTCTGGATGAGGATGGCTAATAAAATTACTCCTTTTTCCTCTAATTTTGTTAATATCCTGCCATATTTCTTTGAGATTTTTACTCTCCCCAATGTGCTGTGCAAAATCTTGCCAATATTTCTCCCTTGCCTCCTTCCTAGCCTGCCCACATATTTTGGCTATATCCATGAAGATTTCCCTATCTTCTTCTCTTCTACCATTCTTTACCCAATCTTTATGTGCTGCCCTTAACATTTGTGTCCATCCCTTCAACATTTTGTCATTGGTATAGCAGTGTTTCCTAGCCCCATGTCTCTTATCATTTATTTTTTTCTGTGTTGACTTAGTCAAATATATTTCTATCTCCCCAACTAAGTCATTATAAAAGCTATCCATACAGACTGGTGTATAATTTCTGTACCATTTCTCTATATTTTGGGTAAACACTTCTGTGTCATCCTTGTTTAGTTTCAATTTCTTCCTCCTATATCTCACCTGTCTCTTCCCTAATGGTAATTGAACATACACAACAAAATGGTCACTGACTAGCTCCCTTATTATCTCACATTCTCCCTGGACTCCCTGACTGCTTATCATGCAAGCATAGTCTAACCTTCCTCCTTTAATATGAGTCACTTCCTTATTTCCTAACAAGTAAGAATCTGGGTGATCTTGTAAAAATTGCCAAAATTTTATACCATTTCTATTAATTCTCCCCATTGTTTCGAGTCTTGGATGTCGAGCATTAAAATCTCTTACAGCCAAAGTTGAGTCCAAAAACATGCAATCTGGTAAGAAGTTGAGGTCAAAACAGCATCCAGAAATATACAAATTTGCTATGTTCAGTTCTCCTTCCTTCAAATATAACTTTATACAGACACTTTCTATTCCTTGTACTCTACTCGGGTTTCCAACTAGTTCTGCTGGTATGGAATTCTTAATGTATGTTGAGACCCCTCTTATACCTTTACTAGATAGTTTAAGCAGGTCGCCTTTCCTGTCCCTGTAACGGGCCGCGTTTTCTCTTTTCAATAATTTACCATCCAGCTACTGTTTTCTGTTAGTATTCTATTTACTCATATACTTATTTGTTCTATGTAGCATTCCTCCAATGAGTACCCTGTTTAATATACTTATTCTCCTTCCATTCTTTACATATATATTTATTCTTATATGTTCTTTACCTCTATATACCTTATATTCTTATATGTTCTTATATAAGTAACTCTTATGCTTCTCCACTTATGTTTTCCAAGTCAAGGTTCTTTCTTTTCATTTCCTTTCATATAAATTGTATTTTCAGTTTCAATGTTCTTACCTTTCTGAAGTATACTTTGTTTTATGTCTTTCTTATACATGGGTTAGTCTGGGGAACCATGTGATTCTTTGTATAACACTTTTTATACTTACAAGGGGTAGCTGCCACCACCCAGACTTTTCATTATATAACAGAACTCATGGAAGGGTTTTGGGTAGTGTGGTAGATGTATAGGCACGTGAGTAAGTATTATTTTCTGGGAACCAATGTTTAGAAGGAGTAGAGTGGTGATACTCAGATTACTAACTCAATATTTATTAATACAGTGAGTGGAGAAGATGCATCTTAGATTCACTCAGGCTAAACAGAACCGAAATTAACTTATTAAGTCATCAAACACTTCAAGAACTTATTACCTCATTAAACACCTCCAAATATTCATTACTTTATTGGATACTGTTGTAGTATTTCTGTGACAAGTAAGATTTAGCAATGCTTACACACTGTCAATAACCCTGGACCCGCAGGTCTTACTTTAACAAGGAACAAATTACCTTCTCAATTCGTGGTTAGAACCTCATACTCTCAGGTTATTCTTTCATGGGTACTACAGATGAATACATAACACATTGGACTAACTCCACAATTATAGTAACATACAATACCTCCTGTTAGTTTGCAAGGAACAACCTGGTACCTTGAACTCTCATTCAGTGGTTCAATACTTAACCTGGGATGACTATATTTCTGCTAGTCATCCCTAAGCATGGATATTAATACGGCTCCATACATATAACCAAGAACAGTGGGTAGACCATGATCATATGACGGAGTCAGTAGGCCAGAGTTGTTTACAGGCTCGCTCGCTAGCTCGGAGCGCCTGGCCCAGGAAAAGTTGACTGTGGCGGTGGGCCGTGGCGTCTGCCAAGGAATCTCGCCCTGGGATTCTCATCTCGCCACCTTAAAGACGTCTTAAGGCTAGCTAGATCCAGGATTAATATTTACACATTTTATATCCTTTCCAATCAGATTCTTTAAGAAGGCCCAATCCTCCTGCACAGATTCCCATTTCCTCAAAAGTTTTTCTTTATCAGCATCTTTACACTTTACCAACACCTTTTTAAAACTTTCAGTTGTTGCTCCCTGCGCTACACAATCCTTTATTTTCCTCTCCTTCCCTGTAATACTTATTTTAAGCACTGAATTTTTCAAAGGCTTGAGCTCTTCACTTTCCTCTTTCCTTTTTAATTCTACATTATTCACAGCTTTGTTTTCCCTTTCTTTATTTATCACTGTATCAAGTCTTTTCTCTATCACTTCTATTTTCTGACCTAACTTTTGCAAAAGCTGAAACATCTTAAGCACCTCTTCTCCCAGAATTTCTTGCACAGTTTTATCACTAACCTGGAGGGCTGCACCACTACTCTCACTTGCTACTTGTTTATTACTCTGTTTGTTTCTGGCATCAACAACGCTTCCGGCCGCAAGCGCAGTCCTTATCCTTCTTGAATCTTCATGCCAGGCATTCTCAGGAATCACTGTCTGTGTGTTCTCCTGCTGTCTTGTCACTGTCAGACCACAGCGTACTTCCTCGGTGTTCTCTGAATAATTCCTTTGTTGGTCACTTCTCATACGTGGCCTCATCTCGCATGCAATTGAACTAGCATTGAGAGTTTTACCACACTTACAACAACAACAAGGCTTCACTTTCTCTCCTGCTTTGATCTTGTCCTTACAGTTGCTAGATTCGTGCCTCTTCCCACAGAATCTACAACGTGGGTCCAGTTGACAGCTCCAGGCCTTATGTCCCCATCTGCAACACTTGAGACACATTATTGGTCCCCCCACATATAGTGCCACCTTCCTATACCCTGCTCCTGTGATGAACACTTTCTCTGGAACCTTTCCTCTCATTAGAGCAATAACCTGGCTTCTCTCTTCGCCCCTTATTAAATGCCTCTTGACCCAAACAAATCTTTCGTCATCCAATAAGTATTCTGGGTCTAGTATTACAGGGTACCTGAAGATTATAACCTTTGTAAGTAGTATGTCGCTCTCCTCTGGCAAAACCATCAGTAATCCCTTGTACCCAACAGTTGTCAACATTTCCACAGCCTGTAAGATAAGGCTTGTGTGTGCCTTCTTTCAAAAGAGGCTCAAAGCTGCGATGCTCCCGTCCTAGTTGTACTGCCCATTTTAATTTTTCAAGGAAGGTCATCGGGCATGACTGGAAAAATTAATCTCTTCCTGACACGACCAACTTCACCTTGTGTGTGTGTTCTTGTCTGCTTCCTTCAAATTCCATACTTTGCTCTGTTCTTGATCCATTCTCCACTATCTCCTTTCTGTTATTTCCATTATTATTACCACCCACACACGTTTTTTGTCCTAGATGATTTTGTCTCTTCTCCTCTCTCACTTCTTTGCTTTCACTGTCCTCATGCCAGCTTGTCTCCCTCATTGTTTTAGAATTTTCTTTCTTATTCACTACCTCTTGTTGTAGCTGTATTTTCTCACTTTCGAACTTCCCTTGTGCTTCATCACTCGTATTAGACTCATCACTACTCAACTCAAGGTCTTCAAGAACTTCGTCCAATACTATCTTTTCTTTACTCTTCCATGTAGAGTTCTTAAGCGAAAATTCACTTTCCGTGGGGCAATGTTGACATCCCACAACACCCAGCCAGGAGTGATGGGACCCCGAGCAGTTATTTTTGTAAGGTAAACAGTAAGTTCCCAACACTAAAGTTGCTTGACGATACTTATCTTATCCTCGGGTCCTTATACACAAGTAGGTAAGTCTATATATCCTTCAGTTAATGTAATAAGCTCGAAAACATCCCAAATTTGGGAGCTAGCGCTCACAGCTGTGTTTACCGGACCAAAAAAATGGCCGCTCCGTCGTATGTCGAGTAGGTCGTAAGTCGAGGAGTAGCTGTATTTAACTAATGATAACAGAAAAAGTTATTTCTTTAATGTTTTGTTTTTGTGTTTTAATGTTTTGTCTGTGAGTCGGTTCTCGTCTTCAACGTTTAGGTCACGAAGGAGGCTTAAATATATCTAGAAAAAAGTTTTTGCTCCTGTGTAAATATCATAATAAATTTGCACTGTCCTCTGATTGGTCACAGCAGAGAGATTTAAATAATAAATCCCGCAAAATTGTGCCTCTCTCCCGGCAGCACGATAAGAATCCGTCGAGATCGTCGCAGTTTCGTTCTACGTCGGTCGCGTCCACGAAATGTAAACACTATTGGACGCGTACGAAACCGGGTATGCCGATTCGGTTTTTGTTGGTCCATCGCAAGAAGTTAGGTAGTTTAGATTAGGTTAGGTAGGGTTTTCAATGTTGTTTTTTTAACCCTTCATGTTGAAAGTCTAACTCACTTTGGAAGATTCATTGTTTTTGTTAGTGTAAGGAAATTAAGATCATATTTATTTATTAGAAAAAATCCAAATAAAAACTTGTAAAACTATCGTTTTGGCCGTGCAGCTATTTTCCGAAGGTCATAAAAGTTGAAAATACATCAAAAACCATTGGAACAAGATTATTTCAACCTAACCTAACCTATTTGAGTAATCAGTTTCTCCACGTGGTACTAAACAAACAAGTGCCTTTATTATAAGTGTACGAAGATGTTATTTGACCACGATTCTGGGCCAAATAACCGTCGGCCATTTGACCGGGACCTGCGGGGATCGTATAGGATTGTAGTCGGGATGGTTGGGGGCATTAAACAAGTCATTACATTATGGTATTATTTAATTGTATAATTTCTGTTGACAAAAGGATTTAGTTTTATTTTAGATCTCTGTCAAATAAGCGGCGGTTATTGTGCCGAGTACCGGTCAAATAATCCCTGCCTATAATATAATAGTTTTACAGTGTTGTGTATTATATAGCTATTGGTCACATTTCCAGGAAGCTTCAAGGACCAACAACACATCTCGGTACGACAAGTCGAGACTCGACCGTACAGACCCGTCCGGTCTCGCACACGACGCCGTTAACGGCAAACGGAGAAACGCCGCTGGGAGGTAATACCGACGTCGTCACTTCACGTCGTGTCATTGGGCGTACGAGCCGAGTGTATTAGAGTACAGGTTGTACCTCTCTAGTCCGGCATTCTGTGATCCGGAACGATTTTAGTTTGTCCAATAGGTAGATAGGCAGCTTTTTTTTTTTTTTAATCTTGATTATTATTATTATTATTATTATTATTACAGGAGTATTAAATTTTTGCCCCTCAGGCCCCAATGTGGGTCAGTGACCTATGCCCGGGTGGGCTAATCCCCGTAAAAAAACAACAACGACAAAGCCGGGGGAAATTAAGGTTTGTTTACATCCGGCAGCTCTCTCTCTGTGCTTGTCTATACAGAGCATAACATTTAACCCTTCAATATATATTCTAGCAGTAAATAAGTGTTGCTTTCATATTCTTAAGTAGAGTAACGACGACATGTTTTCACGTGTGCGCACTTACATACGCTCAGTTTCACTTTTTTTTTTTACCATTGATGGTTAGCTACTTATATTGTTCCATTTATTAACATTAAATAACATTACTTCAAACAAGCATATTAATTTTTTTACATTAATTTTACTACAGCTACAATCAGGGTCTAATTTTCTTCAGTTTTATATGTAGAACCAATCTGTCACCGGTTTTGTAAGCTTTAACAAAAACAATGCCGGCAGCCGTCTCGTCTCGTCGCGCGTTTTAATATTACACGTATTAGTAATAAATTGTATTGTTAATTTTGCACACACAAACATTAATTCAATAAAAACAAATTCAGAAACATTAATTAAAATATATATGAACAGTAAATAAGTGTTGCTTTCACATTCTTACGTAAAGTAATGACGATACGTTTTCACGCGTGCGCACTCGCATACGCGATCTCTGTTTTTCTTTACCATTATCGTTAGCTACTTCTATTGTTCCATGTATTAACATTACTTAAAAGAACCATATTAATTTTTCTACAGCTACAACCGGGGTCTTATTTTCTTCAGTTTTATACGTAGAACCAGTCGGTCACCGTTTTTGTAATCGACGAAAACGGTGCCGTCTCATTTCCTCGCGTTTTAATATTGAGCGTATTATTAATGAATTGTATTGCTCATTTTGCACACACTAACATTAATTCAATCCAAAAGACTTTCAGTAATAAATAATAACGAATCTTTCGTACATAAGAGAAATAACGCCGTTTACACGATCGTGCACGTCGTCCGAACGTCGGCGGGCCATTCAAACCCGTCGAAATTTGAGTTTCCGCCGTCAAAAGTTTTAAATGTGTCGGCTTTTTTTGTGCGTTCAAATAGAAAACGTCGAATTAAAAACTCGCGAAATTTGAGAAGGTACTGTACGACATTTAACCCTTCAATATGTCTTCAAAGAGACCACGAAGCAGAGAAAGTGGTGCTAGTGCTTCCAAGTGTAAACAGAAGTCACTATCTGTCCAGGAAGAGGGCGAATTTCCACGGTCGGGAAATTTCCGGCGTCCGGCACCGGTCGGGTCCCGTGGTTGCCGGACCGGAGAGGTACAACCTGTACTTGTATTTCAGTACACTTGTACAGTAATCCTATAAAAGTGGGCATTTATGTAAATGTTTGTGCGTAAGGTCGCGTCCCATTGGCGTCGGCGGTACGCGACACTTCCAAAATATGGCCCAGATTCACGTTTTTCATCCCATACCCAATTTTGAATGTGTGTTTATTTCGTGGTTCTTTAAAGTACAGTACAGTATATTAATAACTTTAACTTTCGTTTTCAAAACATAATGTCATTGTTTATTAATTATGATACTCTATAAATGCTGTGGTACTCTAAATACTTTTTTCTACTTATATGAATCAGTTGAGTTGAGTAAACTTTTATTTGCATAGTTTTGAAGAAGACTACAGGACATAGTTTAAATTTTTACATATCAACAGTGCAGTACTTTATCTTAAGTAATATTTTCAGGCACTTTCTCCAACACTGCCTACAGTGGACCTGATGTGAACTAGAATGAAGTTGGCTGGACATAAAGTTTACTGGACCTCAAATAGTCTGTGGTATTGTATTTAATATTGTTGTGGTACTTTGAATGTTAGGAAAGTTGTACAGGCATTCCCCAGTTTATAAGAGTACTGTGTCTTATAAAAACCTATGGTAAATCGAATCACTATTCCTATAGACTCACATTATAAAAGCCAAGATACTTTTCTACAACGAAAACAGTTCCCCCCAAATTATGTACGGTCCCCCAAAAAGTATCGATTGAATTTTCTAGCGGTAAAATTTGAAACTCTAGATGAAATACTTTGCTGTGATCCCCAGTGCATCAGCATAAGTTGGTACAGGTACATCCGGTCACTATATGAGCAATAGCCGTAGACGGCGGGTAGCGAGGGAGTCGTCCTCGTGTGACATACGACCGTACGGTATATGCTTTACTATAACAAGAAATTCATTGAGCTATATTAATGTATGTATCGTGCCGGTTAGAAGCGAGGCCCCGACCGAGGATTACAATAATATCGGAATATACATTAAACGGAAGAGTTTTGGAACGTCACGAGCTAGACCGAGACGGACCTCGGGGCATACGTTTCGCCACCGCGTCGTAGCGACGGTTTTATTCGTACCGAGATGCACAATGTAGTCGTCGACGACACGTCTGATTTTTGAGGAGTGACGGAGCAAATAGTAGTTGATATTAGAGTGAACAGGTACAGCAATATACAATATATTGGTCTAAATGGGATCTGCCAAATATTATCGATACGTAAATGGCGTCGGTTTAACGTCAAAATAGGATTTTAATCGGCGCGTCGCCCGTCGTTTAGCGGCGGGTAACCCATCGCGATGCCCGAGGGTTCGCTCGCCCCATTGTGCCGAGTTATTCGAGCGTTGCGCGTACCCTCGTCGCGAAGGCTAATAATAGCGCCTCTCTCCCCGTTGTGTCTTTCCGATAATTCCTCGGTTCATTTGACGTACGATCCCGGTAATGACCGGCTCGGCGTCCGTTTACGACACGCAATCCAAATTCGCGCTACGTGCGATGCGAATCCTCGGAGGATTTGCATCTTTCAAAAACACATACAGTCGTGCGCCGGTTAACATCCGAGCGAACATACTATTGGAGGATTTTCTGTTGCGAGCCCAAAGTAGCCAAATCCATGGTATGGTAGCACAGGACGATGTAAAACAAAGTATTCATTTATTAAAGTTAATTTATAGATACTGGACATAAATGTTTGTTCATTACATTTGAAACATCAATCTTTGTTAATTAAATTTGAAACAAGAGAAAACTACGATACTGGATTTTCATTAAAATATTACATCACAAGTATATTTTACCTTAACTGTGACTGAATGAATATATTCTCGGAAATAAATATGGAAATGTAATATTTTTGCTGGAATGACGTACATATTATAGTGGGAAGTGGGATAAAATCATGAGGAAAGACTTTCGCTTTCTTTCGTTGTTCAAAATATTTTACCGTAATCGCTTTTCGAATGGTTTTCAGTTAAAAAACTGTTGTACTCGTACTGTATTACAATAATATTCTATCCTATCATTAGCCTTATAATCCCACAACTGAAAACCATTCGAAAAGCGATTACGGTAACATCTTTTGAACGAAAGAAAGCGAAAGTCATTGCTTTCGTCACTTTCCACTGTAATACGTACATCATTTCAGCAAAAATATTACATTTCCATCTTCTCAGAAATAAATGGTAGTTTTGTTGAAAGGTAATGTACAGTATTTAACATTAAAATGCAAAAATAGCTATAAAAACAATTAATACACCCGTAATGTACTGGCTGGCATCTCCACTCGTCCCTGCTCCCGCCAGTCACCACTCCTCCCCGCTCTATCCCTCCGCCTCCTCCACATCGTCACTACTGTTGTATTACAATAATATTCTATCCTAATTGACTTGAATAAATACTACGATACCATATTTCTGAATATTTTCATTAAAATCAATCCAAATCATTTTCCTTGCCATCGTCTGCAGCACCACACAGCTTCTCCCAGTCCTCTCCTTGAACGGGGCCAGAGGGTACGTGTTTTTCGAATCGTTTTCAATTAAAAAACTGTTACATCACACGTATATTTTACCTAAACTGCGCCCGAATGAATATATTCTTGGAAATAAATAGTAATTTTGCTGAAACGTGATGTATTTCAATGTAAAATAGGATAAAATACATGACGAAAACAAAAGACTTCACCTAACCTTCGTTTTTTTAATAGTTTTCGGTTACAGAAATGAAATATTTTTGCTGAAATGACGTAAGTATTACAGTGGAATGTGGGACAAAATCGTGACGAAAACAATGACTTTCGCTTTCTTTCGTTCAAAAGATGTTACCGTAATCGCTTTTCGAATGGTTTTCAGTTAAAAAACTGTTGTATTACAATAATATTCTATCCTAATTCACTTGTGATGCAACAGTTTTTTAACTGAAAACCATTCGAAAAGCGATTACGGTAAAATATTTTGAACAACGAAAGAAAGCGAAAGTGTTTCGTCATGATTTTATCCCACTTCCCACTATAATATGTACGTCATTCCAGCAAAAATATTACATTTCCATATTTATTTCCGAGAATATATTCATTCAGTCACGGTTAAGGTAAAATATACTTGTGATGTAATATTTTAATGAAAATCCAGTATCGTAGTTTTTTCTTGTTTCAAATTTAATTAACAAAGATTGATGCTTGAAATGTAATGAACAAAAATTTATGTCCAGTATCTACGAGTTAACTTTAATGAATGAATACTTTGTTTTACATCGTCCTGTGCTACCATACCATGGATTTGGCTACTTTGGGCTCGCAAGAGATCTGCCCTGGCAACTGTACCGACACTCACAGCTGGTGGTGTGTTGGTGCATCGTTTCCATTGTTTTCTGGTAGTTACTGGTAAATATTTTTCAACCTAACGAAACTATTACCCGTTAAGAGGTCGACCCCCAATTTTTGCCAAATAATTTTGTCTTAAAAACTCGAACTACACACAGGTATATACGGTAAATAAGGACATGGGGGGGCCAGGGATTGTTTTTTGGGGGGGGGTAGCAATAGTACACGGATTTTTAACATTCACGGGTATCTCTGTTACCTAACCCCCGCGAATGTTAAGGGCCGACTGTACTTCAATTACTTCAATGTACAGAATATTCCTCTGGCGGGGCAATCCGCGTATTTGCGAATCCGTGAATGCTAAACCCGCGTATGTGAAAGGCCGACCGTACGTCCGTGCCCCCCCTCGAAAAAACACTTCCGTGATGCCTGCTGGACCACCACTCCAAGACCCCCCTGATGGAGACACGACGATCCTTCCCGTACTGGCTAGATGTTATGTGTTAAAGGAATATCATTCCTTAGGCTTTAGTAAGCATTTTCCTCCAGGTGTAATGTTAACCTACATCTATTGAGGATAAAATCTTTCACCTACAAATTGACAATAACACATTTGCTGTAATCGGACATATCTAGTTGCCTCAACAATTGCAACCCTAGTTGCAATTTGAAATTCTGTGTCATTACTGAGGAATAACGAAGTCTCTGGTGCACTGCACTCTAAGATTAAGAGAAAATGGACTCGGGCATCCCGAAGGGAGAGAAAACGGACTTCCACGACGGGAGACTCGAGCACTAACACGTGCCACTCATACCGAGAGACTTGACAAGTTTTACCGACCATTAGTGATGTACGTTATCTAGTGAATTTAGTCAATATTGTACAGTATAAGTATACTGCAATTACAGCGGTCCCTCGGTTAACAATGGACCCGAGTGCAAACCCTTACTGTACGTGTACTAAACGATTACGGTACTTAAATTGTTATGTCTATGGCAAATATAGATTGTTTACACAGATATTCAAATACTATCTTACAAGTTATATTCACCCAGGTCGTTTGGGTGGCAAATTATGAGAAGAGCTTAGTCACTCTTAAGTAATGATAAATAAACACTCGGGCCTTCAGCGCCAACTGTCAAATCTTATCTCAAATAAATAAAGACATTGTCACCTCACTTCCCCCCCCTGCTCGCTGGCTACCTCCCTCCTTGTGTTCCCAGACAAAACATTGGTGATAACTTTATGCTTTAAGGTGTTTATTTTATATAATATCTCAGACTAAAGTTAGGGGATTACAATTTGCATAGCTGGAATCCTTGCAAGACAGCCAATAATTTGAATATAAACATTATATATATACTGTATTTTGTTGAAGATATAAAAATTGTAGTACATTTTATAATATAAAGTTTTTCAACTGTATTTTTGGGTAGATTTATATCAATTTCTTCATTTATTTTCATCCATTTACATGCAGACACCACAATAAAAGAAACGTAAAAGAAATAAACGACCTCGGTGCAAAGCCGGAGCATTGTTGTACTAATTTGATTACGGTACAAAAATTGTTATGTCCGGTGCAAATTACAGCATGTTTATATTCAAATTAATCAGTATGTTACAAGAATCCCAGCAATGTTAATTATATTGTACCAGGTCATTTCACTGGCATTTTAAAATGAGAGAAGCTTAGTAGGACTGTTAAATAAACTCACAGAGACCTTCGGCTCAAACTGTCAAACATCTCCTCTTAACTCTCTCCCCCATCTGTTGAGCCAGGGTTTTAGGCTTACAGTTTTTATCTTACATAATATTTCAGACTAAAGTTAGGAGATTATAATTTGCATTGCTGGAATCCTTGCAAGACAGCCAATAATTTGAATGTTAACGTCATATATTTTGCTCGAGAGATAAAAATTGTTGTACGTTAGTGTACAGTACTGTAGTACATTTTATAATATAAAGTTTTTGAACTGTATTTTTGGGTAGATTTACATCAATTTCTTCATTTATTTTCATGCACACAGCATACTAAAAGAAATAATTGACCTTAGTGCAAAGCTGGAGTTTTGTTGTACTAATTTGATTTGGGTACTAAAATTGTTATGTCTAGTGGAAATTATAGCATGTTTATATACAAATTAATCAGTATGTTACAAGAATCCCAAGAATGTTAATTATATTCACCCGGGTCATTTCCCGGCCGGGAAAAAATGCGCCACAGACCCGGGCGCCAACCGTCGGTGTCGCCGGGCTTTATCTTAAGTAATATCACAGACAAAAGTTAGAATTTAATTTGCATTGCTAAAATCGTTACAAGACGGCTAATAATTTTAACATAAACGTTGTATATTTTGCACAAGAGATAAAAATTTGTAGCCCTTTGTAATAAAATTAGTTACAACTAAAATTTGTATGTGAACTATAGCATGTTTATATTCAAAGTAATCACAATTTTATAAGAATTCCAGCAATGTTAATTATATTCTTCCAAGTCAGTTTAGTGATATTTCATAAGAGAAAACCTGAAAGTCACTGTTAAGGACAGATAAATAAATAAGCTCTAGACCTTGGCATCAACTGTCAAACCGATAACCCTCCTCCCCATCTTGCCGCGAATCCGATCACGAGTAAACGGGCCATTTCGCGTCTCGTAATTTTAGCCGCGTCGATTTACGAGCGTCCGTTTTAACGCGATACTACAAAAACGATGTTTTGTAGGAGATGGGCCGAGGTGCATTTGGGTATATTGGGTCTTTTTAGTATTTTGTGTTAGTCTCGAGTACCAAAGTAAATTGTTCCATTGAAACCACTTTAATTGAGTCCAAATTTGGTTTAAAGCTATTAGCTCTCTAGGAATGCGCCTCGCGTCACCGACGCGTACGCGGGACCGGTAACAATTTTACGTAAACGCGTCGACGACGTAATATTCGACAATGCCGTCGGGTCGTCGACGTCCCGTTTCTTCGTTTAGTAAATAGTCGTGGCGATTTTTGTCGCGCGCGTGTCCGTCGACGGGCACGCCGAGGGCGGTCCGTCCGCGGATGCGGGCCCGCTCGAGATTCGGCCCGTATTGCGCAGTCGTACGGTCCGTCGTCGTTTGCGAGAAGTACTCGTTTACGTAGTCTCGCGTGCAGTATATTGCATTTTCTAGCAATAGACTAGTTACGATCGTAGATTAGTTCCATCACGTAGGGTATCGTCTCGCCGTCGGCCCGGGACACACCTCCGGCCACTCGACACTCTGCTTACCGGTACACGACACAAATTAAAAATGATCAACACGATATTTTACGAGGGCATTATGATTGATTTATAATACCCTATGCAATGGTTGTATAGATGTAGTGCAGTATAATTATTAAATGCAGGCAGCATTCACATCACAAACTTAACCCACAGAAGAAGTCGCCTCGGGCAGCGGAAGCGCGATCCGGGAGAAGGACACGAAGAACGACCGTAGATCGTCGCTCCGGAGACGGGTCGGCGAGTGCCGCTCTCCGACGCGAGACGATCGTCGAGAATAACCTACGTGTTTTTCTATTTTTATGGATGCTATTTTAAGGATAACTAAAGCTCAGTCAACGGTTATTTTAGCTTAAGGTCATATTATACGTGTATTTGTAATGTACAGTATTTCATTGAGTAAGAATGCTAAAACTTGCCCGGCGGTCGACCCCCAAAACAACTGCGGCGACCCGCTCCGGCACTCGAGAAGACGGAAGCTCCGAGTACACGACGTTAAAGATTAACGGATAGTTTGACGACTATACCACCCCTTGTTCCCTCTACCTCCAGCTAAATGTATCCCTCCCTCCACTTACCACTCTTCCTTTCCTCATCTATTATCTTTCCCTTCCACCCCTCTATCCCACCATCTGTCCCCCCTCCCTTTCTTCACGTACCATTCTTCCTTTCCTTATCTATTATCCTTCCCTTCCACCCCTCTATCCCTTCCCTCCACATACCACCTTTCTCTCCTAGCACCTGTCGTTCCTTTTTTGTGTTTTATTTAATAAGTTTTATAGTATATGATGGTCACCTTATTAATAATGTACCATTTTGTGTGATTACAATTACACTACACACACTTAGTCGAAGTGACCAGTTATTAGTGTTGATATTAATGGGATAAATATTAGATAAGTTTATTGGAGTTTGCTATAAAATATGTGACTATAATTATAAATTGTGAGTGTGAAGAAGGGTTTATAAGTTGTATATATGTCAATTAGAGGAACAAATAATTTGCTAACCACACCCTAGTCCTTCAATGGAAAACGCATCGAAATGCGCAGCGGCGAATGCATTCGGCGGGAGAATAATGCGGCGACACGCGTAGAATACTCGTACGCCACTCTCGGGCACGTACGTTTCCATTTACTAAAGTTAGGTGGGTTTGTTTGGGTGGCGTGGGACCCAGAGGGCATCGGCAGGCGGTCGCGTCCGGCGGTTGCCGTGCGAGAAATTGGGAGGACGGGCTTTCACGTTGCAGAAACTAAGGAACGGCATCTTCCGGCGGAACCACAGCCCGCGATTAAAGGAACGCTCGGGTTTGACGCCCACGGACCGAGCGCGCGGCTCCTCCGCCGTAACAAGAGTAGTCGATTGAAGTCCCCTCTTTTGCCTGGGTGGATGTGTCTGTGCTAACCGTTTTAGGCAAGTGAATGTTTGGTACAGCAGATTTGGGGATTCATTGTAGGGTAGACTTGCCATACAGTGCAGTGTTTTAATTGGTATTATATTGCGGCGATCGGCGAGCACGGAGACCGAAGCCTCACTCGACCGTGTCTCGGGAGGCGTGGGGTTTGGTCCGAGGCCACTCGCAGTCATCGTCGAGGGTATAGTCCGGAACGCCGTTCGACGTGACGTCTCGTCGAAATTCCGGAGCGGTCTTCTCGTCGCGGGGCGCGCCGGAGGTCGACGCTACGACGTTCCCGGAGGGGTCGTCGTCGTCGTCGTCGGGTATTTGACGTGCATCCGGAGTAGAACGAGGGCACGCGTCGAACCGTCGAAAGTGCGCAAGAAATGAGATCGCGTAAATAACGGCAGATTAATTTCGTCGACACTCGTACGTATAAAAGTGCAAAGTAAATAAATAATACGTATTTTTTTTATGGGAATTAGCCCACCCGGGCACGGGTCACCGACCCACATCGGGGCGAAAATGTAATAATAATAATAATAATTGTTGAAGTTACAGTGTTCATTTTTGGTGGATATCAACGAAATATGATGCGAGAGGCTCGGACGACGACACAAACGACGACGCTCTCTCCGGTATATTTTCGGGACCGTCCGTAAAAACGAAACCAAAACACGCGTGCGCATTCAAAGTGGCGCATTATTGCACAAGTAAAATAAAACATATTGACATAAATATGGGGTAACCTAGTTTATATGTAACAATAATACTGAAGAACCTTAAAGAAATACAAAATGGAAAAAAAAATCAAAAGTGAGGAACAATAGATTTATGTTGTGTTGTAAGAGAAACAATCGAGACCCCGCAATCGCGTGTTAACGAGGCAGAGAGTCAGACGAGCGACCCGGGACTCGGTCACAATTTTAGGGATGCCACGTAGCAGGAAGATCTACCACGGACGACACATTACGCTTCCAATATTGTCTGCGGAGGTGGTATCTCCCCGTTTGGTGGCTGCCTAAGTATGTAAGATTTTCCAATGGAAAGTGTATGTTTGGCAAATGTATCCAGGTCTTTAGAGAATGTACTCAGATATTTGGGTTAGGTGTCAAGGGTTCATGTATAATTTGCATGCCTAATTGACTATGTATATTTTTTAACCTTAATTTTTCATTTGCAGTCACCCGACGGGAGTCAGAAACGTCATTTTTGTGCGGACCGGCGACTCGACGGACCCCGGCCGAGGACGCCGCTCGAACCGCGGGTGAGAATGTCGGACGACGCCGTATTGTAATGTTTATATCGCAGTGTACGGTATTTACTTAATGGTTCTCTGAAGAATAGGAATGCGTATGTGGCGTGCCTCGGCGTCTCCGTAGGAATTGCGTAGAGTAAGTGGAAGGTTTTTAAGGGAGACGAGAATTTATTAAGCGGCGCGTCGTCGACGAAATATCGAAGGAAGTTTTGACCGGTTACCGAGAGGAAATAAGACGGGAATTTACGAGTAAAAGAGTAGTAGAACGTAAAGATAACGAGGGAGGGAGAAATGAAAATGCGACCGACGACGAGACTCGGGTGCCATCGAAAATGCGTAGAGGGACGGACATTACAAGTGTTATAATGAGAGTACTTAATTTAGCATAGAGATATAGAATTGAAGGTGTCATATCTGGTCTAAAAGTGTTGGATACAATATGAAAAGTATTATTAAAAAATGGGAGTTTAAGCCAAGGGTTAGGGTGCTGCTGGCACTTCCCCCTCCCTTCCTATTGGGATAAATCGAGAAACAAGATGAATTCTCCCCACCCCCTCCTCCACAAAGGGGAGACCAGATGGACGTCACCTGGGTGTAAGGGTTAAGAATGTAGTAGCTTGTAATGGAGGATGAGGTATATGTATTTATGTCCTATGTTTTATACTGTATTGCAAGTAGGCGTTATTGTATGCACATTGCGGGTCATAATAGGAACGCGGCACGCCGGAGGCGGGTACACGGGACGATCCCTCGGAACAGAAGCCGAAAGTTCGTGGCGTGGGTATATCCACTTCCCTTAAAAGTGTAATTAGGGATCCTCCTCAGACACATTGCACCATTTGAACGCAGACGTAAGATTATCCTCATCGCCGTACACGTCCCGAGGAGACGAGGCGTATCGAGTTTACGCGGATGCATACGAGACGTTTCCTTTCGAGTACGGGTAGTTCTGCTATAATGCGATAGTTGTGTTCTTGTAAAACATCGTGTTATAGAAATTCGTGTAATAGAAATGACAGGGCTTATGGAGAAAATAGGTTTAGGTGCAGATTACTCCAAATCGACAAAAATTTCGTAGTACAGTCTAAATAAATGTTACATTGATATCTAATATTGAAATCATACAGTAAATGTTACACTTGACCTTGAAAAAATCTGAATATAACTTGATG